TTCCGATTTTCATGAACGCAAGTTCAATTTCACTTTGTGTGTCATATTCATCAATAGACAAAATCGAAGACAGATGCCGTACAACTGTTCTCCTCGGGCCTGCGTCGCTTAGACAATAGATGTGTAACTTTCGTTTCGCCCATGATTCTGCAGTGTTCTCATCAGGTCTTTTAAGGGTATCGGGTCTGATACTGTTCTTTCTTTCCACGATACTGTTTCCCTCAAGCTGGGCCGTTTCCAGGCCATTGTTTTGCAATGATGAATCAGAACAGAACAATTCGTATGAACTGATCAATCCTAACTTATTATCTGGATACTCGTATTCACCTGCGGATACTTCGGCCTACTTTCAAGCATGAATATCGAAGGAAATCAATGATTTTTTTTCAGTATAATTCCAGACTTTGCAAGAAATTTATATAATAATCACAGTGATCACTACTATTGGGTTTTACTACTATTGTTTTCGCATGGTTTCCATCTTACTCAAATAAAACGAAGCAGTTGATTCCTATTTTACTTAGTGTTCATTCTTGTTTGATATTTTTAAACAAAAATGCACTCATTAAACAAATAGTAAATATGCGAGTTTTTGGTTTTTGCCGAACGAGGACAAGGAAGACAAAATGGCGATAGTTTTGTGTAGGGTCGATCATGATCTTCGGTTTGTATCAAAAGCATGTCTCACAAATGAAATATTGTTTTTGAACAATAATTTGATAGCAATTAAACAAATTTCAATCCTTGGCATATGTAAGGGCTGGATTACTTACTTTCAAGGGCTCAAAGTCCGGACAAACATTAAACTACAATGTTTTTATTTATCTGTTCTAGGTATGTTGTACAGACTTTTTAGTTGTACTATTTTGATGATTTAATTTCAAGAATCTGTCAAGGAAACAGTCTGTTGTTACTTTACATGTTCACGTAGGTTTAATTTAGCAGATTTTACTTGTCAGCGAAAATAGCAAAATTTGCCCATTGCGTCAGGAAGATCTATCCCGATTTGCTGCACTGAGGTTAATTACGGTTTTTACTACTTCATCGCTAATGACACTAATTACCAAGAATTAAAAAAACAAGTGAAATTAAGTCGCATTGGGAAAAAAACCCATGAGAAAATGAAAGCAAAAATTATTCAACTGCAGACGAGACAAACCCCGACCTCTAGAAATACCTCATTCATAGAGTGCCTCATTAGTGCCCATTGTTTACAAGTATAGTGTCCTTGCATGTTTTTCAAAATGCCCATATCAAAATCATGTGTTTCCATATACAATATATCATAGATTCTCAGACACCTTGATCAATTTTATTGATGGATTGACCTACATGAAATTACATTCACTTATTAGGCAAAGCCTATACCTTTATAATATATGCTCTGATCACACGGGAGCTATTTACAGTTTAACTTTGATTGGATTTATTTTTTGTTTGCACAAAGAAAAAACAAAAACAAAAAATTTAAATATGTCATTGTCACAGCTCTGCTTCAGTTAATATGGTACATCGTTGTTTCGTTTTGAATGCGCAAAATAAACGAATATCATATTCAGTATTTCGATAAAACCTGGGAATTGTGGAGGATTATGAATGGTTTTGGAAGGGGTCGAGATTTTAGTGAGGCATTCGTTGAAACAACTCAAATATAGAGAATTGTCAATTACATGTTTTGACATGAATTATCCTGTCACTAGCATTTGTAATTTACTTTTTTTCACTGAATATTTTTTCTCTAATGTACGAACTTCTTAGAATATAATCC